TCACTCACTCACACACACTCTCACTCACTCACTCACACACTCACACACTCTCACTAACTCTCTCACACACACACACACACACACACACACACACACATCACTGCAACTGGAAGTGGAGATTTTGCTTTTGGATTGACACCAGTTCTGTCTTTTTATCATCTAATTTTATCATCTGAAATGTGCTAGTAATTGTATTCACTCTACTTATATAATGCAATATTATATTATATTAATGTCAAGCATGCAAATCAAGGGTTAAATGTATGTGACAATTTAGTAGTCGCTGGATATTGGTAGAGACATAATAAGCGATGTCTAACTTTTTTTATAAAGTTCTCTCAAACAAAATAATATAAGTCCGACATTGCAGTGATCTGCTGGTTTGTCATTCTCTGAGGAAGACACTTGTTTTGGTCAGATTTTTTTTTTTAATGTTCATCCAAGTGACTTTTTTTTTCTGTTTTAAAGATGTTTTCTTTGGATTGTTTGACTACTCGAACGAAAACACAGGAAAATATGACTTTGTTTGTTTCCTGCTAGCTAAATTTCACATATACGTAAACAAAAATCTGGCTCTAAACCTCTCTTTTCTTTATTCAAAGTTGATCTAGACAAGTACATGGAAACTATCCAAAGTTCTGTTAATCCTAAAGCAGTGAAAACTGCATCTAAGCGCATAGAAAACAAAGAAATTCAACAATTCTTCTCCTCCTCATCCCGTCAGCTGTGAAAAGAGTAATCACAACGCATGTGCTTGCTTGCGCTTCATGGATATTGGTAGGAACATGTCCCAGTGCAACTTATTTTCCAGAAACTACATGCTGCTAAAAAAAATTTACAAATTACCCAATGATTAATGTTTGTAAATGATAGCATGCTACAATGTTGTCATATGACCTTATTATGTTGCATGTCCAGTTATCAGAATGGATATTTCACATTTTTATTTGAATTTTATGAAATAAAAAATTATTTTGGCCAGTATAAGCAAATTAGTAGTTAAAAATCATGCAATTTAGTAAATAAGATAATTTACGGTTCATTCATCAAACTGGAAATAGAAAAGAAAGACTGGAAAGTTGAGTGCATTGCACTGTGGGATACAGAATCTCAAACAGTGTATAATAGTGTGAGTAGCACGATAGTATGTTATTCCATTATACACTTCCAGATCAGCGTCTTTTTTCTTGTTTTACAGTAAAAAAAAAATCTAAACAAACTTCAAAATTTACCTGAGATTTTGAGATCTCCGAGAATTGTTCTCTAGTATCTTATATTAAAATAAAATAATAAATAACATACAATTGTGCCACAAACGTTTTATTAATAAAGTCAAATAAAATGCCTAGGGCAAGAACAGATATGTGATTAAAATGTGGACTTACTTTAGCCGTTGCCTCTTTGGTGGATAATCTCAGTGCTCGCTCTTGCTCTTGAAGTCTGGAAATAAAAGGAAATTATAAATATCAGTGATGCTGAAAATGAGATTTGAACACTAACGTTATAAACTTTACACTTAAAAATTATGGCAAATACAAGAAATAGTAATAACGATGCTTGACTTAGCAGACAACACTAATAAATACAGGTAAGCAAACAATATCGAAGCATTATATACTGTGATTAGGCCTGGGCGATAAAACAGTATCGATATTTATCGACGGTACACCTTCGATAGCGATATAAAAACTGTTCGATATAGTGCACGATATAGGCACGTGCTAAGAGTGACGCAGACAGCTCACACAAACACGAACACATGTTGAATTGAGTGCTGTGCCTGCCTGTGATGCGGAGATTGTGAATAAAAAAAAAAGAATATTAGTCGAATTTAAAATAAGCATTTGCATTTGAATGCAAAAATAGTACAATCAAATGTTAGGAGTTCGTCAGGGAGCGTCATCAGTGGAGCACGAGATGCGGTGATGATGATGTAAGTGACGTTGTTGCATTTTAATGTTTTAATAAAGAATGAATATTAGTCGAATTTAAAATAAACATTTGCATTTGAATGCAAAAATAGTACAATCAAACGTTAGGTGTGCGTCTGGGAGCGTCATTAGTGGAGCGCGAGATGCGGTGATGATGATGTAAGTGACGTTGTGGCATTTTAATGTTTTATTAGTCTAGCCCACAAGACGCGCAGTTGCTGCGTTATTCATTCAAAATATTAGAGAAATATAGAAGCTCAATGCGGAGAAGATCTTGATTAGGTTAAAACCTATACCAAGCCATTCATGCAGAACGCATATTCAGTGCATTTTTTAGACGGACAAATATGACTGCTGCACTCGCGTCTCACACAGACGTATAGAATGCTATAGAAATGTATAGAAAGCCATGCAAAGTTAAAACAGTTTTAACTTTTAGAAAACACGTCACGAATTTGTGGAGGTTTATTCCGTTTCACTGCGTCTCATATGTTTTTAAAGGCAATCTGTGTGATGGCCGATTTGCTCTTTGGATTAATAATGCATAAATACATGATGCTGTTTTGTTCATAATTGTTTATGCAATTTACGAAATTATGTTTGATTTATATGAGTTTATTTAGATGTAATGCACATTTTTCTTTTTATAGACAGTTATTTCCTTTGGGTTGGCAGTTTAATGCGCTGCATTATTTTGCTCATTGCGCCCTCCTGAGGCTTCGGGAGAGAAGCAAAAAGTTTCCTTCAGACCCATTTAATCTGCATATAAAACATTAAAAATGAGATATTGGTTTAATTTTTATTTTGTGTTTGAATGTTAAAACAAAAAAATATTTGTTGTTTGTCTCAATAAATTGGGTTAATTTAAAACTACAGTGGTTAAATTTAAACGTTTTTTTTCTATTGCTCTTTGTTTTAAAAAAGGTTATAAAAAATGTCAATAATTATCGATACCGAACAATATGAAACATTATATCGTTGATACATTTTTTAGTTATATCGCCCAGCCCTAACTGTGATTCAAGGTTATTATCATAAAAACATTTTCAATATCTGAAATAAAATAATTTCTCATTAATTTTTCATTACTTGAAATAAAACGTAAATTAAAATAAAAATATTAATTTAAACTTTTACTATTTAATTTGAGCTAGTTTCTCATTTTCATTTAGGTTAAATTGAAGTACTAAAACTAATTCATAAAAATTAAATATTTCAGACATATTAAAAAAAAAAAACTACAAAAAATTACAAAAGCATACAACAAAATTACTAAAACTTCAAAATTTAAGTGAAAACACAAAATATATAAATAAAATCTAATTCAAAATATTAACAGAAACTGTAACGGTATACCAATTATTTAAAAATAAGTGGATAAAGTGTCTCCTGATAGTAATATACAGGTTTAATAAGTGGATTAGATGTCAGTAACACAACTCATACAAACAAAATATCAGCTATTCCTCATCAAGAGCCTTGAGCGATTCTTCTTAAGCATTACGCACAGGTTTTGGACAGAAAACCAATATTCATCCACACCAGCATCTGAAGGCATTAACTCTGTGAAGCCTGAAAGCAATAAAAATTCATAACCGTGCTGAAAAGTGTCTCATTTCCAGAAGGGCCGGGTAAAAATACAATAAAAGAGAGAGGATTGCATGGTGAATCGGCTGCTTCTCCTCAAAACTCGCTTTAAACTTGCCCTCAGTTCAGGAGAAAATAAATCAATCTCTCAGCGGGGTTTGTTTAGCTCGGCTCAATGTTATGACCTCAATCTGCACCGTACCTCTAATAAATCTACATATGCATCAAAATCAATCTGTGAGAGACCAAACAGAGTCATGCAATCTAGAGTTCAATATTTCTCTGCTCAGAGACAGACGTTTCATCGCTGCTAGACGACCTTTGTTTTTCACCGGAGCGTCTCACTGAAACTCCTCCAAAAACGAAATCCACTGAAGAGAAGATTTAACTGAACCACGTCAGTCTCAAATGTCAACGCTAGCGAATGCTGACTGGCACATCTGACATCTTTAAATGATCACCTGTTGGTTTCTGTTCAACATTACAGCAAAGAGAGATTTTAATATTAACAATAGCTATCACAATCAGATAATATACTCAAACTTCCACTTATAATTCATTATTAAAGGCACACTATGTAAGATTTTCGTAACAAAATATCCAAAATCTACTTGCACAGATTGATATATTTCATGCAGTTGTGTATGCAGTGTATGTTAACCCAAAAGTTCCCAAGGATTTGTAAATCCAGAGAAATCCCAATTTTAAATAATGACTCGTCCCTCATCATTGTCGCCTATCAATGACGCAATAACGACATATCCTCAGATTCCGCTTGTAGAAACTATGGCAACACACAGACACAAATGCTGCTGTACAGTTAAACTAAATCCATTATGGCTGTCGCGAATAAAATGAAAAGTGTTGACCGCAGCGTTAAATCTGCTCAATGTTGCGCAATTATTTTTTTACACATTTTTACAGTGTTGCGCATTCCAACCAATCACACACACGAGTCTGTTGAGCTTATGAATGCAACGGCCAATCAGAGGCGTTCAGATGAGTTCTTGTTCACTGCACGCGCTCGCCGACTGAATTCTGCTCTCTCGTGAATTCTCTCATCATAAACAACAAAGTGCAGATGTACGCATTATGTAAGATGTTCAAGAATTTTTTATCAAATCATTTTTTAGAAGAGGGGCTCCCTAAATAAGGATGAAAAATGGTATTTTGCCGGTGAACAGATTGAAGTGGTTAATATTTGGGAATGTGGTTTACACCAAAATTGTCATGGTGGAAAACCCGACAACTCTTAGCAAGCCAAAGCAAGAGCAAGCAATGCTTTCCTTGCTAAGGTTTGCGCGTAAAACATAAAACTAGCTGCAATCAATCTTTGTATTTGTTTGATCGCATGGTGGCACCTACACTTTATCATGGATCTGAGATATGGGGTTTTGAACCAGTGGAGTGTATTGAAAATGTTCAGGTATCTTTCTGTAAAAAAACTCCTGTGTATCAGTACAAGTGTGAGCAATGTAGCTGTCTTGGGTGATTTGGGTAGATTTGTATTGTCCACTTCTTATATGAAAAGATGTATCATGTATTGGATAAAACTAGTGTCTATATGTCAAGAAAATGTTATAATATGTTTTTTCAATTGGACGAAGTAGGTCGAAAAACATGGGTTACTCGTATTAGAGTTCTTCTGTATTTATATGGTTTTTCAAGTGCCTGCGAGGCTCAAAGTTTAAGTGATATAAGACCATTTACAGCTATTCTTAACCAACGATTGAAAGAAAAAGCACACGAGGCATGGTATACATCAGTTTTGGAAAATAATAAGTTAAATATATATTCACAATACAAGTCTTCATTGATACAAGAGAGCTACATTGCGTCTGTGTATAACATGCAACTGGTACGATCATTGTTCCTTTATGTTCAAGTCATCATCTTGCTATAGAAACAGGCAGATGGAGTAATACACCAAAATCTTTTAATTACTTTTACTTGAGTAAAAGAAACAAAGTAATAGATTTCTAATGTAATTGAGTATTAAATGATATTTAAAGGGGTGGTTCACTGTTTTTTTTCTAAGCTTGATTGTGTTTATGGAGTGCAGTCTAACATGCGTTAATTCTTTGTTTAAAAAAAAGAAAAACGTATTATTTTTCACATAATTTACCTTTATTCCACACCGCTCTGTCCCTTCTCTGAGAAACGCACTGATCATTTCCTGTTTTTATGAAGCCCCGCCCTCAGAAATAGGCGATGGGCTCTGATTGGTTAGCTAGCCCAGTGTGTTGTGATTGGCTCAGCGGCATGTGCTCCGCTTGTATTGTAAACAACGCCGTCATTAATATCGCTTATCAGTTTGAGCCCAATTGAGACGCAGAGGATATTATTGAAGAGGATCGTGCAGAGCCTGTGCAAGCACGGCTTTGAGGAACAGTATTTAGAAAAAGTTGTGTCTGCTCAATTGTGCTCCTTCCTGCAAAAAAATTATCTCTATGAAGAATTTCAGTCAGGTTTCAGGCCCCACTATAGCACAGAAACTGCACTTGTTAAAATGACAAATGACTTTGTTAAAAGCGCTATATAAATAAAGGTGACTTGACTTGACTATTGAGAACCTCTGCTCTAGAACATTGATTTTGAAACTTGTGAATTCATATATGAACAGATTGTTACGTGCACCTCTAGTTTTCTCTTCCTCTTCTCTAAAGCAGCGCAGCATGGCCCCGCCCCCTTTGCTGTCTTTTCCCGAGGGCGGGGTTTATCTGGGTTTGTGATGTCACAAACCCGGGAAGTAACTCGTTGTAGTCCCTACCAGCCGTTTTTGTAGGCATTAAACTGCCAGAATTTTAAAAGACGATATCTCCGTTTGCATTGAACTTTCAGCTTTGTAACTTTGCAGATATTGTTTATGCTCAAACAGCAACATTACACACTAACTAACGTTAAAAAAGTGAAATCGCGATCAACCACCCCTTTAATATGAAACGTAGTGCAGTAAAAAGTACAATATTATGCTTTGGAATGTTGTGAAGTAAAGTTTTCTAAATAAAAACACTTGAAAGTACTTTTACAGCAGAGTAAAAATACTTCACTACTGTCCGCCCCTGGTCTTGACCATTAGTGATGTGCAGGTTTGAATGTGTGTAAATGAGATATGAGGCCTCATATTTTGCTGCTCTGTTTGCACTCACCTGACGATCTCTGCGGGTGGAGACACACTGATCTGCGCCCGGTGTTCAGAGCTGATCATGTCCTCCAGCGCTCGAGCCATCAGCCGCAGCTGAGCCGGATCACAGGCTCTGAGGACGGGCTCCAGATGCTCCTCCACAGCTCTGCTCTGCTCCCGCAGCTCCTGCAGCCTCCGCTGAAGATCACACATCTCCTTCTGAAGAAGCACAACACATACTTAACCTCTTAACCTATTACTAAGCTAAGATCAACTTCAGATTTGACAACAGATTAGTCAGATCTGTTGCAAGTTAAGAACGTGTTAAAAAGGAATTAGATTTCATGCTGACAGTCAGTCATTGACATGCATATATTATGCACTCATTAGTCACATGTGACCCTGGAGCACAAAAGCAGTCTTAAGTCGCTGGGGTATATTTGTAGCAACAGCCAACGGGTCACATATATCAGTGATGATCATATATTTCTGTTCACCTGAATCCTTTGTTTTTCCTCTAACAGTTTCTCTCGTGTTGGAAACCGGCTCTGAGAGCTGCCTGAGCCCTGATCGGCACTCAATTCACCATTTTGCCTGTTTGAAAAAAAAAAATATATATATATATTTATAATCAGCCACTGCAAAACATGACTAGAAAAGTGTTATATTTGAAAACCAGGGTTATTATATATAACTACAATTACTAGAAATAAAATAGATGTTAACTATAAAATAATAATAATAATAATAAAACTATTAAATATTTCAGCAGGTTTCCAAGGTAACGTTTCTCATTTTCATTAAGTTTAATTAATTTAATTGATTAAAACTAAACCTAAAAAAAAAAAAAAATAGACATACATATTTAAAAACGAAGAAAACTAATACAAATTTCAGAAACACCTAACAAAATTACTAAAACTTTAACTAAAATTAACATAACAGCAAAACATATGAAAATAAAATCTTATTCAAAATATTAACAAAAACTCTAAATGACTGAAGCTAAAACTCAAATAAAGGTAACATTTTTATTTTCATTTAGTTTAACTTTGAAGCAATAAAATAACTCAAACTAAAAACGTAAACCTAATTTTAAAAAGTGATAGACATATTTAAACAAAAAAACTAATAAAAATGACAATAACAAAAAAAAATCAAAATTACTAAAACTTTCAAATCAAAATGAAAACATGATATAAAAATAAATCAAAATATTAACAAAAAAAATGATGTGCACATCTTCAGCTTTTTTATTATGATCATTAATAATCTGGTGTCTTTCCTATGATGAGTGTCTCTGAGCTCAGTTACAGACTCCATACTGTACGATGATAAACATATGGAAACAATACGCAACAGGAAGTGCTGTTTAGACACATTCCAGCAGATCTGCCACCCCACCTGTGTGCTTTCCTGTTTAAACGGGTTATTTCTGAAGCCAGTGTCAACTAACCAGCCCTCAAATACAATACAGTGACGTGTTCTGTAGTGTTGGAGGAAATCAAGTCAGGTTTAGAAACGAGACATTTTCAGAATTCAGTTGTGAAGAATGGATTCAATTCATATCAATACAAATATATAGGGATTATTTTGTATAGATACGATAAAGATGTGTTAGCATCAAAAAAAGAATTATTTTTTAAAAGGAAATGAATACTTTTATTCAGCTAGGATGTATTAAATTAATCCAAAGTGACACTAAAGACATTTAGAATGTGACAAAAGATTTCTATTTCAAATAAATGCAGTTCTTTTGAACTTTCCATTCATCAAAGAATCCTGAAAAATAAAATGTATCACGGTTTGCAGCACAACTGTTTTCAACATTGATAATAATCGGAAATGTTTCTTGAGCAGCAAATCAGCATATTAGAATGATTTCTGAAGATCATGTGACACTGAAGACTGGAGGAATGGTGCTGAAAATACAGCTTTGATCACAGAAATAAATTACATTTTACAATATATTCACACAGAAAAAAAGATATTTGAAATTGTAATAATATTTCACAATATTACTGATTTTACTGTATTTTTGTTGAGTTGCTGAATGTTTCCAAACCTGCAGTTTGCGTCTGTCCTGTGGATGACGCTGTGAACGGCTGCTCTGAGACGCTCTAGAAATCCAGTGACCTCCGGATGTCTGGACGGTAAACCAGGCTTAAGCATCGCTCGCTCTCTCCTCAGTTCCTCTAGCTTCTTACCAAAACGCTCGGCTAAACACACAAACACATTTTAGACTTCAACTTTCAGCACTCTTTCTTTAAAGGGGTAAACCAAACAAAAACATACGCCTGCTTATACTCAATTTAGGTCAAAATCAATCCAAAAACATGACAAAAATACTAGACCCTGGAGTGACAAATTTAAACCAGCCTATCCGATTATTGATCTATTATTGATTACAGCCCAAAACGAGCACCTTTGAAGCATTTGCGCTCTAATCTGCGACTAAAACACTGCAGGAAATGTCTGCGTGTGTGTTTGTGAGTGTAAGACTGACAGTACAAAACAAACACAACTGACCCACTTTACACACACACACACACACACACACACACACACACAC